CACTACAAGTGGACATTTTCATCCTTGGGGGAAGTTGATGGGCATCCAGAACGAGGTTTGTCATCAACTGACATTTCATCTTTTTTGAAATGAGAAAACCACTGTACACTTGAATTTTTCCCACATTGTCCTTGTAAGCTGTGTTCAACGTCACAACAGTTTCTCAGGCATTTTTCCTGATCAGGAAACAAAATTTCACAGCCGCATGCTTCTCTCTTAAATTGGCCACCACACACACACACAAAAACGAGGTTCATGTGAAACTGCTTTTATGAAAAAAGTGCACTGTGACCAGAGAGAACCGTCCCAGGAGATGGCACTGGATGCACTAACTCAGAGATTGTTGCTGGGTGCACACTTACTGGGAAAAAAAAAATGTGTACTATGAAAACTCTACCCAGCTGGATTTTTTTTCCATTTGGGGGGGAGTACCCCCTCATAAATATTTCTTTCCCTTCCTAGACTCCATGATATTTTAAGAAAAAGCATGCCTGGCATGTAGTCACTCAATAAATAATGTGGTTAATAAGTAAAGAATTAGCTAATTGAATGAGTGAACAATGATTGAATGCTTTGTATGAACAAAATACTTTAGAATGAAAGGTTAACCAGGGTTACATGACAAAAGTAAGAGTTAAATTTCTTAGCACTTTTTATGTGCCAGCTACCATTACCTTAATTCTCTTTGTTGCTTTAAGAGCTATCTTCATCTGCATCTCAAAGATGTGGCAACTAAGCCTTAGAAAGCCCAAATCACACAGTGATTGCATCATAAAACTAATATTAAAACCCAAGCCATGATGCCAGGGGCTTAAGTGGAGAGCAAATGTTTTGAGAATGATGAGGGCAATGAATGTACAAATGTGCTTTACACAATGGATGTATGTATGGATTGTGATAAAAGTTGTATGAGCCCCCAACAAGACGATTAAAAGGAAAAAAACCCAAGCCAATGCTATGGTTATTCCGTTATATGGCTTTCTCTCAAAAGAAACCTGCTTTCTTTTGAAAATCTATTGTCTTTATGAGGAAAAAACGCAGTCTATACATTTCAATGGTCTGAATGTGTCCGGATCAAGTTTTTGTATTTGTTTTGCTGGTTTTCTATGCTCCTAGTAATTGTGTAGCTTGGTAAAATATTTATACTATGTCATGATATACAGAAAAAAGATCATATTGTATGGAATTATATTATTCTTTGCATCTAAATCTAAACTCATAATTACAAGCATTTCTCGTGTAAAGGCCAAAAGGTAACATAACATTATCCTAATGTCCTATTAATTTGCATTGCCACTTGCTATGAAAATAAAGATTTTTCTCCCCCCTTATTGGAAGTAAACATGTTTATCACACAACAGAAAGCAAGTCTTTCTAGTTTGTAATCATTCAGATTAAAAAAATAATAACTGCTATCCACCTAAGGCAGTTGCCACATGAATAATTCAATTGAAAGTCTGTTTGCCTAAAGGTCTCAAACCATAGTTATGCTGTCTGAAAAATGAGAAATTTGAGACTAAAATTTTCCAAAAAGATCTCTTGAGGTCAAAAAGTTATTCAATTAGGATGAAATATAAAAGCTTATAAAATTTTAATAATAAGAACAAGTATAACTGAGATCACATATCTCAAACCCACCCAAGCTGATTCCTTCCTGAATGGTATTGCTCAGTATAGATCCTTAATACTCATGTGTAATTTCCAGACCAACTGGAGCAGTATTCTCTGGGTGCTTGTAAGAAATGGTGAATCTCAAATGCCAGGACTAATTAACAGAGCCTACATTTTTCACAAGTTCCCCAGGAATATCACTGCACCTTAGTTGGAGAGGCTCATCTCTTGATTGAAAGAAAACCTGGTGGTGTCGTGCAGTAAGCATTGGCTGCTACCCAGACGGTTGGCGGTCCCAAAGGGAAGGATGAGGCTGTCTGCTCCCAGAGAGATTCCCAGTCACGAACACCCTGTGGAGGAGTCCCACTCTGCCCTATACGGTTGCTAGGAATTGGAAGCAATTTGATGTAAGTGTGCTCACCATATATTGAGGAGTACCTGGGTAGAGCAAATGGATTCTATAGCTAACAGAAAGGCTGATGGTTCTAATCCACCTTGAGATGTTAGGGAAGAAAGAACTAGTGATGCATTTCCAGAGAGTCAGTCCTTAAAACTCTTTGGTAAACAGTTCTACTCTGACACATACAGAAGCATTCGTGCCAATTCAATGGCAAGTGTAATATTTTATTCTTGTTGGAGGCCAGGTCAAGAACAGATATGATGTAGTCTACTAAACAGAGACCAGACAAGTTGTAGGATGATATCAAGAACATCACACAAGAATAAAGCACAAAGTCATTTAAAATATAGGAAAACATTAAAAATGAATGCAAGAAGAGACTCTGAATCTAGCTTTTGAATGTATCATAGCTAAAGTGAATGGGAGAAATGAAGGCGTAAAGGAGCTGGACAGAAAAATTTTAAGGGATGACACACAGCATCTATCAAGCTAAAAGAACTAAAGGAAAAATTCAAACCTGTAAGTTGCAATATTGAAGGATTTTTATGGGAAAAATATTGAAGGATGCAGGAAGCATCCAAAGATGACGGAAAAAAATGTGGAGTTTCTGTGCCAAAAAGAATTGATCTACATTCAATCATTTCAAGAGGTAGCATGTGATCAAGAACCAACAGTACTAAAGGAAGAAATCCAAGCTGCACTGAAGGCACTAACAAAACAAGGCTCCAGAATTCAGTGGAATATAAATTGAAATGTTACAACAAACTAATGCAATGCTGTATGCACTCAATTACCAATGACAAGAACTTGGGAGATAGCGACGTGACCATCAAACTGGAAGAGATCCATATTTGTGTCTATTCCAAAAGACGATAACTAAAAAGCAGGAAGAAATTCTCAAGCTACATCATTAATATCATATACAAGTAAAATTTTGCTGAAGAAAATTAAAAAATCACTTGAAGCAGTACATCCACTGGAAGCTGCCAAAAATTCAAGCTGGGTTCAGAGAGGACATGGCATGAGGTATATCATTGCTGATATCAGTTGAATCTCGTCTAGAAGCAAAGAATACTGATATGACATTTAATTGTTTTTTTCCTTGTCTGAGCAAAAACACTCAACTGTGTGCATCATAAAAAGCAAAGGATAGTATTGCAAAGAATAGGCTTTCCAGACCACGCTCATGCAGAACTTTACCTAGACCACGAGGCGGTTGTGTAAATAAAGCCTTGGGAAGACTGACGAGTTTAAAATCAGGCAAGGAGTACATGGAGGCTGTGTTCTTTCACTGCAGGTATTCAATCTGTGTGCTAAGTCAGCCAAGAAGCTGGGCTATATGAAGAAGACTATGGATAAGCTGTAGTGGATACAACTATATGAAGAAGAATATGGATAAGCTGTACGCTCATTAACAATTTGATATGCAGATGACACCATTTTGCTTGCTGAAAACACAGAAGATTTAAAGTACCACTGGTGAAGAGCAGACTACAGCTTTGAGTACAAATTACAATTGAATGTAGAGAAAAGGGAAAGCCTGTAGACTGGTACCCACAAACATCATCATAAATAGAAAAAAGGTTGTAGTTATCAAGGACTTAAATTTCCTTGGGTTCACTGGCCATGTTTACAGAGGCAACAGTCGAGAAATCAAACAACATGTTCAAGGTCTACACTGTGCTTGACCAAGGCCCTGGTGTTTTCAATCACCTCCGAGACGTACATGTGAACGCTGGACAAGGACTAAGGGGAACTGGAGAGAAGCTGGTGCGTTTGAATAATGGTGCTGCTGAAGAATCCTGAAAGTACTAGAGACTGCCAGAGTTAGGTCAGTGTGTCATCTTACCTTTCATCTCCCTTTTGACCCATTTTAAAGCTTTTTAAGTTAAGAAAAAAGTGAAGGGGAAATATGCCTGGATCATGTCCCTGTGGAATCCCCTCTCACCATGGAACAGGGATGTGGGTGACCTTGCCACCATGCAGAATGCATTAGAAAGTGGATTGTTGCACATGCAGTTAGGTTGAAATTTAGCACTATCATTTGATTTTCCTTATGAAGCATTTAAATTTGTTCTAATTTGTAATATTTTTTGGTAATTTGTAATATTTTCTCATTTGAAGTTTTTGTTTGTTTTATAACTCATTTTGCTGGGGGCTCTTACAGCTCTTATAACATTGCATACATCAATTATATCAAGTTTTATCTGTTTTACTTTGTTGTTCTTGTCAGTTTTGTTTGCTTGTTAATTTGTTCACTTTTAAGTGTTTTCCTGTGTATGAAATCCAGGATAGGTAAATCTACAGAGACAGTAACTGGATTAATGGTTCCTTGAGGGCATGGCGGGTGAGGTTGGGGGAGGGGGAGATAGGGAGCTAATAACCATGAGTACAAGAATGAAGAAAATATTCTAATACTGACTGTGGTGATAACTGTACAACTCTTCTTGATATGATAGAACTACTGAATTGTATATGTGAATTACAAGCCAATAAAGCTGTGGGGGGGGAATGGGTCTTAGAAGCAAGGACGCTACTTCAGCTCATATACTTTAGACACAATCTCAGGTAAGTCCACTCCTTGGAAAAGAACATCATGCGTGGTAACGTAGAGGTCAGTAAAAGAGAAAGGCCTGGATGAGACGAACTGACGTGGTTGCAACAAGGGGCTCCAGCAACCACATTGATGACAATGACCCGGGACAGGGCAGCATTTTGATGTGTTGCACACACGATCGCTGTGAGCCACAACCAACTCCACAGCACCTAACAACTTTCATGGATAACATTTTAGCAGCTATAAATGTCCACATGAAATCGATTTCAAGAGGCTTACATGAAAAGTCTTAAGAGGTATCTAAATACAACTGTGAATATAATGAAATTAAGTCACATGGGAAAATCTTTCTCGTTATTTTAATAGCACAGGGCTACAAAATGACAAGCTCAATGCAATTAACTTATAATTTTTAATAAAACAGTTTATTACCTTAAATGTTAATGGTGATAATGAAAGTCTGCTCTTTGACTTTTTCAGATGAAGATATAATAGAGCCATTTCTAGGTAAGATTCTCTTATCAACCTAAAATGACACAGTATTACACTCATTAACTAAATAACTTCACCACTCATAAATTTAGAACTATTTGTTGGCGATTTCTGACCTTATGGAAAGCAAATATAGACAAACGTAGCACAGATCCCAATTTAGCCCCTTTTTCTTGCAGCGTTTTTGGCCATAGACACTAGCATCTTACACTCTACAGAAACTAGCAGGGCTTGAAAAGAACTGGGCATCCTAACTTGCTGTGTTCTGACAATACTCTGGGCCATGATGGTTATGCATCCCAGTGTTGGGATAATTCTAGGATATTCCAGTATATGGGGCACCATAAAGATGGGAATGGAGAGACTAATTGAAATTGAAAAAGAAGTGTTGAGTATACAGGAAATGGGGATTTAGCATGAGTTACATCTGTGAATTAACTATCAAACCTGTGAGGTGGCTCCTTGGCTTGTTTAATCACTTCCGTACTCATAATGCAGGCTGATTCTCAGTAAGCAAGGCAGTTTTTATGGAGACTTTAGCTGACTAGTTGTTATTGGCGACCAAAGTGAATATTCATATTGATTCTCTCTACAAAGAATTTCTCAAGGGGAGGGAGCTGTAATCATGGGAAAGATGGGTGATCCTGGTACAGGCTAGAAATGATATGCCACCATGATATGACTATCATCAACCATTCCTGCATCTGAAGCCTTAGGTCCAAGCCAAGAACACCTGTTTGAATAGTGGGTTAGGACAGCCCCCTATTGTACAGGTGTGCCCTAATGAACTAGCCTTGACAAGAGCAGGCTCCCTTCTCATTCCAGCCTCGCGTACTTGATAATGTTCTAGAACAAATGGCTAAAAACAAAAACAAAACCCTGACACACATTACTACAACAATGGAAAGGTAGTTTCACTGTTTTTTGTTTTTTTACCCTGAGTTTTGGTCATTTGCCAAGCTTAGTTGTATAGCTTCATATAAACTCTTCAGCTGGAAGTGTGGAGATTTCTGTTCCATCAATATCTGACGTTCTATTTTGCCTGAAAGAATAAAAAGATGTATTTTGCCTTTCTACATCATTGAGAACTTAGGGACAAATCCTTGCGCTGTAGCTTTGGAAACGGGGTGCGGTGTCCTTGGGTGTTCCCTGGTAGCTGGTGAACTGGCTGGAGAAAAATGTATCCTTGTTTTTCCATGAGTCCCCAGAGCTGGGCTAGCCATGCTGGCACTGCCCACTGAATAGCTCCTCCTGCTTTCAGTGGGTGGAAGTAGAAGAAAGCGTCCCGAGGCAGGGACAATAAGTCACAAATGTTTGGCTTCCCCAAGACAACTTGGTTTTTGTTTGATTGTCTTACTTTGAGCTTGTCCTGACTTCGGTTCTTCTTCTCCCCCCACCCCTCCTCCCCTCCTTCTCCTTTCAACTAACACAGAGATCATAGAAAGCATCTCTCTTAAATGTTTTGAGAAACGATGTACAAATGCGCTTTACACAATTGATGTGTGTATGGATTGGGAAAACAGTTGTATGAGCCCCTAATAAAATGTTAAAAAAAAAAAAAAAAGAAAGCATCTCTCTTAAAAACAAATCCCAAAAGGCCAGCCAATAGTGAGAACTAGTCATGGAAGAAGGAAATGGCCTACTTCCCACACATCTTCCAGGGCTGGAGTGGCACCTGGAGAGCAAGATGGATGAGGAGGAGGACCATCTACTCACTAGGAACAGGATTCGCAGAAAACGGCACAGAGCCGCTCAGAGTTGAATTTGCTTCTGGACACTGTCATTTAATAGATGTTGAGTTTAAAAGTTTCTTAGCCTGTATGCGCATCGTGTTCCTTTTCTCTCAACCAGGAGTAGTTATCACTACCTTTAAGAGCACTATGGGACATAAATGACGTCAATGTCTGACATCTGTGGATGTGCAAAATGTGGTACCAAACATTGCTATTCTCATGGATAAAATGGCCACAAGAGAACAAGATAAATGTAATACATTGTATATGAATATAGGTATAGCTAAGCTTTCCACTGTTAACCAAATTGATCTTGGTGATTTAAACCTGTTGGCACTCTGTTCAGACACTGCTCCCGTAAGCATGGTGGGCCAGTTCTCTTCTGTTTGTTGCGATGAGTTGGAATTGGCTCCAGGGCGCACGCATCAACATAACAATTTAATTTGTACAGGGAAATATCTCTTACTTATATAAATTAACCAAAATATTTTAACCAAGTACTGTAATGTCATAGGAAAAACATTCCAAGTATAATTTCAATAACACTATTTATAGCGAAGTGAACAAATGCTGTCATTTTTTCATGAACCATGACACAACCTGTAAGGACGGTTTCAGGGGCGGGGACTTATTCGACTTGGCTCATCTAGCCAAAGTCTCTAACTTGCACCAAATGACTGTTTCCTGCATCAGCCCGTTAGGGAGGATGGGGAAGATACTGATAGGGTTCGCCTCCTGCACGTCATTGTGAACAGAATTCTCCGCAGTGTCATCCTGCTGCCCTCTGAGAAGCAAGAAGAGGAATCTCGTTACCAGCAAGAGCCAGGAACAGTGCGAGGCCCTGGGCCTGAGGCCCCTGCACAGTGAGTGACCCTCCTGGGTCCTGAGACAGCTCTAACCACAGAGCAGCAGCAGCAGAACCCGGGCGGAGCGTGGAGCCCAGTGACGGCCTTTCCAGCCCACGGAGCCAGTACAGTATAGCGGAGGGCCTGTGGGCAGGAGGCAGGCTTGCTTGAGAAGTGGGCTGGCTCTGGACACTTAATTCAGGAAGCTGGGTTCCTGAGTGTCAGAGTTCCTGAGTTCCTGAGTTCCTGAGGTGGAGGTGAGTGTCTTGAGGCTAAAATTTACCGGAGTGGGATGTCTTGGGGAACTTAATTCGGGAAGTTGGGCTGGCTGACACACAGAGCTTGAGTTTACCGCTGAGTGGTTTGCGTCTCTGAGCATGTATTAGCAGCCCTGAGAGAGCCTGGGGACATGTCCTGATAACCAACTCCCCCCTGAGCATTTCCTCCTGACATGACAACTTTGTTAACTTCCCTAACAAGCTCTCCAATCCAGAATTTTGTGGGTGAGTTCGGTGCGGTCATTGCACGGGATATTAGAACCCGAGAGGTGAAATAGAGAATACCAATGAAAACAACACAGGGACCAACTATAATGATAAAAGAAGCTAAGTAGTTCTTTCCTCACCATGGTTACATATAAAATTCAAATAAGCAGTGTCCTTTACTCTGAAAATGAGTTTGCCACACAGGTACCAATGGGTTTGTAATCTCTAAGCCTGGGGTAAAAACCTGTACTGTTTTTTCTTTTTTGGTACTAAGCGTCCTGATTTTCAAGAAGTTCATTGTTAATAGCAAAACAAGTCTCACAAATGTTTACCATACTTTGGACTCCATGCACATTTTACCTTTCTGAAACAGAATTTCCGCTTCCACCTCGCTTTCTTCTGTAGCCCAGAGCTTGCAGAGCTTCAAGGCCACTTGGAAGAGCTGGAGGGCAGGTGACCACTTGGAAGGGTCCTTCTTTTTATTGGTAGAACATATTTGCTTGGCCATTGTATGTCCTAAAAAAAGAATAAGCCACGGATGAGGCGAGAAAAGTTAAACAGTTTCTACCACAAGGCTTCGTGGCACCATCCACTCGCACAGAAACGGCATCTGTTAAGAACGCTGGTGGGCTTTCTGTCCTGTGCACCTAAGAGAGATGGCAAAGAAACACAATGCCCGATATCTCAGTGATCACAGTGGTAGCCCTTTGCAGCATTACCTTTGATAACTCTCCGAAGTATGTCATTTTCAAAATGAAGAATAATCTCCCGAGACTCTCTTCAGTTCGAAACGTTCATGATGCTCTACGAAGCATCTGAAGATGAAATTATCTCAGGCGGAACGCATCTGGAAGATTTATGAGGCTCCCACACACTTTGCGTATACTAAGAGCTCTTTTCTTTCGACTTTGCATGACAGTGACTGCTGGCTAGGCGTTCGCTTGGCAGCGTTGTGGAGGACGGGCTACACACGGGACGCATCTCGAGTAGACCCAGCCCTTAGCACATACAGAGTGCTGTTGTGTGGAAGTGGGATTAGATTGATGCTGCGTAGTCTCAAAAGCAGGCTGACAAACACAATTTTCTCTACAAATATGTGCTGACTTCCTATTGTGGGCCAAATACGGAACGAGGCACTAGACAAAAATGAGACAAGAAAATAACAAAAGCTAAACATTTTCTTGATCCTAGCGCCACGGAGTCGATTCTGACTCTTAGTGACCTCACAGTGCAGAGCAGAGTTGCTCCATCGGGTTGTCTGGGCTGTCAGTCTTGGCAGAAGCAGGCTGCCTCTGCTTTCCCCCATAGAGTGGCTGCTAGGCTAACAGAGAGGGCTTTAACCATTACACTTAGTCTAAGAAGCATGAAGATTTATTAAAGCTATGACTATGAGAGTCCTCCATGCAAACCAGCACTCATGAGCTTTAGTCTTTCAGGGAAGCCTCACAACTCTGCGTGACCACCATTATTTGTGCATTTGACAGGGGAGGATGTGGGGGCGATGAGAAGTTTCAATCATTTCCCCAAGAGCAGATGGCTACTAAGTGCCAGGGCTTGAATCTTGGCAGTAGGGCTCCCAAGACCATGTTCTATACTATGGCTCTGCATGACCTCTAAAGAGGACCATCATGGAGCAGCGTATTTAATGGGCAGGCAAGTGGCCAGCCAGGCATCATACTGTGTGGTGGTCTTAGGAGCCAAATAATGCACTGGACATTAGACAAGTGCAGTTGATTCCTCGGAAACATCTTCCTGGCCACTGAGCCCCACAGCCCACACTGCAGGCGACAGGCATGAATATGCGCACTGCACCCATTTCTCACTGGAGCCATCCCAACCATGTGCAGTGGACCCACTTCTAAGTGGACCCCACTCCAAATGCGCAAACATGTGTGAGTCAAAGACTGCACTGGGCCCTAGGACAGCCGGCAGCAGGCCAAGACCAGGCGAGGCATCACAGAGAACACAGATGTCTAAGTCATAGCCAAGGGTGCCCTTGTCCTCTGCTACTTTTAAAGAAGATCAACACTGAGGTAGAGTAGAGGCAACTGGTGGAGCTACCCCATTAATGAGGTATTTAACTCTGCACAATAGAGGAGTATCAACAGAAAGCCATGTGGGGTTGCAGAATGATACAGATGCTGGGGTCTTCCTGAAGTGCTGGGTCCTGCCCAGCCATAGATTCTACACTGTCATTTAAAGCACCGGAAAAATCTCTATATGCCTCTGGCCCTTGGCTGTCTTCCTGTGAAAAACGAGCCAACAGAAATAGAAAATAGCTAAGGTCCCCGTAGGTCCTGAAATTTTACAACTCTAAGATGTTAAGCTCCTTAGATGCAAGAATGGTGAGTTTGTCTCACGTGCTCTGGTCTTGTTATCAGAAGGAACCAGTCTCTAGAAAAGGACATCACGTTTGGGAAATGAGAGGGTTAGGGGAAAAGAGGACGCCCTTGGGGAGATGGATTCACCATGGATGCTACAATGAGCTTGAACCTGACGGGGACTAGGAGGCTGGCAAAGGACGGGCAGACTTCCCTTCTGTGACACATAAGTTTGCTACGAGTCACAGCCAACAACAAAGAAGATGCTGTTCCTCCAAAGATTTTCAAAAAGCTAGAACTTATTGTAAAATTTTAGTTCAAAAATGTGTTATATAAATGGCAGGACGGTAGAGAATGTTAGACATTACAGTCCTGTCTACCCCTTTCGTTTCTTCTTTTTCTTTAATCCAGTTATTGAGCACACTACTAAGGGTATGGAGACAGAGAAGCCAGAGTCATTGCTTCCAGGGGGTTCCCAGGAGAATGAGGAATACAAGCAGGAGTTATAATAACTAATACCTAAGAGCCCTCGGAGTCCCTGGGTGGCGCAGAGGGTTACCATGCTAGATTACTAACCAGAAGGTTGAACATTCGAGCCCACTCAGAAATGCCTTAGAAGCTAGGCCTGAAGATGTGCATCCCCCAAAGCCACCACTTATTGAAAATCCTATGGGGCACAGTTCTACTCTGACATACATAAAGTCTGCATGAATTTTAATTGAGCCTTGGGTGACTGGCTACGTACGATCTTGGAGCAAGTTAAATCCTCAGCTTGTGTCATCCCATAGCAAGCCAGAGCTTTTATTATTCATACTTGACAGTGGGAGAAACTGAAAGTGCCCAAGTTTAATATCCTGCTCCAGGAATTTGAACAGGATTCTTTCTCCAGAGTCTGTGCTCCTAGGAGATGTCCATTGAAATCTCACTTTCAATTTACCCACCCCGGGAGCTCTGGTGGCAGAGGGGAGTGTTGGACTGTTAGACAGTTAGTTTATTGTGCCAACCTGGCCAATAAACACATGTGGGCTAATTGAAGGGTGGAGAGATAAATGGCTCAGTGAGCCTCGCCTTTCTAGTTCTCAGGTCTCTTGCTTTCTGATGGTCGGACCAGGGTGCAGCTGCCTTAGCAGTTAGTTCCCTGCTTCAGCTGGCAAGGCTGACTTCCTGAAAGACATCCTGAGGAAAAGCCGCATGGACCTACCCTGATGCAGCCCTGGGTGCTGGAGCACCCACGTGGAAAGCCCTGCCAGCACTGAGATGCTTACACATTCACTGATTCGACTTTCCTCCTGCAGTCGGCACCATAGTGTGTGTTTTGTGAGATGGAGGAGGACTTTGTGGATTGGTGTCAGACATACGGGTTCATGTTGGACTTGTGGGCTTGGACAGCACTGGGTTGGGATGTTTTCTTGATGTGCACTTACCCTTTATATAAAGCTCTGTCTTATACATGAGTTTCGGTGGATTTGTTTCTCTAAAGTACCTAGACTAACACAGACTGTTAACCACAAGGCCAGCCATTTAAAGCCATCAATCAATCCTAGGAGAAAGATGAGGCCACTTGCTCCCATAAAAAGTTGTCATTGCAGAAACCCAAAGGTTCAGTTCTACTCTGTGCTCCGGGTCAGAGCTGAGTCAGAATAGATGTGATGGCAGCAAATGAGTTCCTCGTTTAGAGGCTTCGCTTGATGTTTCCAATGGTGTCATCGCTGTTCATCCACATAGGAGAGAAATATCAAATACCTCCATGTCATTGGGGAACCTATAAGTCGTCACGATACATCAATTTATCTTAGAGATTTTTATTAATATTAGAAAAAATACATTACAATAATTTTTGACTACATTCCTCTCTCCCCTCATCATAAGTTCTCTGGGGGCAGACAAGGTGACTGGTTCTCAATCATATCTCCACTCTCTGCCCTTATTACCATTTGCTGTGCTCAATAAGTATTTAATTGAATGACAGTAAGAAATGTAAATGACCTATTCATGCCTACCATTATCTACTACTGCATCTAATAAGGAAACTCAAGATTTAGTGTTAAGAGGAAAATAATCATAATGATTAATTTTTTCCTCATAGAGATTATTTTAAAATACCTTTTTTTCTGATAGAGTGATCAATTTATCAAACAAAATATTTGGATACAGATATCAATCTATATCCCTATAAAAGAAAATTGTCGAGAAAGCACAAGGCCACAAATTATTGTATGCTTCATAATATTAAAGAGCTCTTTTCTCCAATAAACATTAACTTGGTTTAAAAGAAGTTGGGAAGCTGATGTTGTTTTGACAGCAAAGCTGCTTCTGGTTTTGTTTTAAGTCTGTATTTAATGTAATTTACCAGACAAGCAAGCTGTTCAGCTTCAAGTGAATCCGAAAAACAGCAACAGTATTGTCATTGAGTGGTGACACATCCTCAAGTTTAGTAAAGGCAGGAAACAGAGCATACATTTGATTTAACACAATCTGTACGGTATAACACAATCTGTACTGCATGCTCTTGTAGAACTCAAAGGCCCCAATAATACAACAAAGTCTGAAATTAAAACACAGAAAAATAACTTCTGTGGGATCCAAAAGCTGGAAGGAATCGTAGAAGCCAGGAAGGCCAACCTCATTTTGCAAATGAAGAAACCCCAAAGCATAGAGGTTTACCTAAAATACTAAATTCTGCATACGAGGATGGTGGCGCTGATTGCATTTTACTGAGGAGTCTGACCCCAGTTCTGGATAGATCGCTACTCTGCACTTTTAAGCCTTACTCTCCGCTCTTCCCTTCTTGTGCCACATCTGGACCAGAAAGCCTGGTGTCCCTCCTTTTGATACCAGTGGGAGATTGAGCCCACCCAAGCCCCCACCCATGAGCTTACGGGAACCCTTGTTCCAGCCCATTCCCTACAAAAAATAACAGACTTCTCCTTCCCTGGCTCCCTCAAGCCATTCTAGACCTGGTTCAAAAGTGTGTGTGTGTGTGTGTGTGTGTGTGTGTTCCCGTCAATCTTGATGTGCACTAGGGCATCCTTTGTCTCCACACCTGAACCAGATTTTGGGTGGGGGTCCCATCTTTGTTCTAAAGGCCAGCATAACACACAAGCTAACAATGACCACTGATGATACAATGTGGGGGAGCAGAAGTGGGTACTGGTGAGCAGAATCAGGATGATAGTTTGCGTATGTTGCCCTCTCTTCCCCACTCTAGTCCGGCCACCAGCCCCTCCTGAGCTGTGCAGCTGCAGCTGCAGGTGCAAGAGGAAAGTGGCTCGTAGAAGGTGCTGAATAAGAGCAAAGGGCTGGTGTAGGATTTCTTCCCTCTGGGCTGAGTGCCACAATCCGGCAGCCCTGGGTCAGCCATCAGACGCAGTGTCACAGGGAGCGACTGAGATTTGATCAGCCTGCAAGCCCCCGAGAAGGGCAGCACTGTAGTGGTTTCCAGGCAGTTTCTGCAATGATATGAGACATCTGAATAGGTGGTCTCTGTCCTTCCTACTTCTGAAACTAGAGAATTCTGGCCTTTGAGCTTCTCCAGATGCTTCAACAGAGAATTGACCTTTCACTACTACAGAGCAGCCACGCCAGCAGAACTAGCTGTTCTTAACAGCATTTGCAGCATCATCACTGTTGAGCTTAATCCAGTATCTGCACCTCTCCTGAAATATTGAGACAAGATAAGATAGAGAGTCCACCAAAAACACCCAACAGGCATCGAAAAGAACAAGCTGAACTCACAGAACAGTGGCAACCAGTACAAAAAAACTGATTGACGGTCAGATGACAACTTGAATTCCTAAAAAGACCATTTATAAAGATACAAACAGCACAAAATATTATTTCTAAAATTTAAAAAATTATATTTTTTTCCTTTAAAAGTTAGATAAATTTGAGAAGCTGGTTTGTGTTGCGACCTGAACTATGGTCTGAAAGATGAAGTAGAGTATCTCAAATTCTAGATGAGATAATAATAAAAGGAAATTATACAGGAAAAGACAATAGACTTGTAAGACAGAGCCAAAACTTATACATAATAACAGTCAACGTATGAGTCTTGCTTACGGTGAGCCAGGCACTGTTCTAGGCATTTAATTCACACAAAATCCATTTGCAGGGTCCCTGCACTGATTGAGTCTCCAGTGAATCACCTTGACCCCAGTCTAGTAATATGAGTGGTCCAACTATCAGACAAAGAGCACGGAAAGTGGATGGCAGGAGCTGCAGGGTGGCGGGAATGGAGCGCCTTGTCACGTGCGCTCCCCTTTGACCCATTTTTTGGCCTGTTTTAATTTATTCTGTTTTTAAAAATATATCATCTTTCTTTTCTATGGAGGGTTTGCTCAGTTTGATTTGGTCAATTTTGCAGGGTTCTTTTAGTTTTTTAATCTTCATTTTGTAGGTTCTTCTGTATAGGGAATTCGGAATGGGTGCATCAATTATGACAGTAACTGGGGGAATGGAAGGGGTGGTTGGTGGGAAATGGGGGATCAACAGCAATGGGTACAAGAAATTGTTCCAAATGTGACTGTACTATTGAATTGTATGATATGTTCACTATATTTCAATAAAACTATTAAAATAACATTTAAAAGCTGCTTATATAAAAAATAGAATACAAAATTATCAGTATCCTACACATCTGTGTGCTTAAACTGATATGTATTGGCCACTTTGCATCAGACAATCATATAGCATAGCTCTGGTGGTAATGACAAATTCAAGAACAGATGTCATATTCATCATTAAAAAGAAAAGTTCAAGATTGTATTGACGTGCAATGTTGTTTGTGATAGGACAATATCTATATGCCCAATGACTAGGATAACCAGTTAATACAAGTATAATTCAAATATACGTACCAAACTATAAAGCTAGTGATGAAGAAATAGAAGGTTTTTACCAACTCTGTCAGTCTGAAATTGATCATGCATATCAAACTGCATTAAAATTACTGGTGATTGGAATGCAAATGTGAGAAATAAAGAGGAAGAATTAAGAGTTGGAAAATATGACATTAGTGATTGAAAAAATGGTGGAGATCATGTGACAGAATTCAGTAAGACCAACAATTTCTTCACTACAGTTCCTTTTTTCAACATAAACAGCAGTTCTACACATGGGCCTGGCCAATCGGAATCAAATTGACTACAGCTTTCAGAAGAGCCTATAGACAATCTCAATACAATCAGCCAAAACAAGTCAGGGGAAACTTTGGGAAATACCATGAACTGCTCATATTAGCGTTCAAGTTGAAGGTCAGTAAAATGAAAACAAGGTCACAAGAGCGAAAACATAGCTTCGAACATATCCCGCCTGAATTTAGAGCCCATCTCAGGAACAGGTTGGCACAGTGCCCTCTTTCAGCCAAAGACCAGATGAGTTGGGAGAGGATATCAAGAATATCGCACATGAAGAAAGCAAAAGGTCAGTGAAAACACAGGAAAGAATAAAAGACCCAAGTGGTTGCTCTAAACCAAGGGTTGGGACAATTTTGAGATGGAAGAGCCAATTCTATCCCTCATAACAATGCTAAAATTATTTGAAGGCCATAAACATATTTTCACAAATAAACAAAATCGCCATTATCTGAATAATATCCTTTCAATGTTTTAAAATTTTACTTCAGAGACACATGCATGTACCAAAAGAGCTGAACATGGCTCGGGAGCCCCAGGTGGCTGACCACAGCTCCAGAGCCTGGAGAAGCCAACTCCAAGGCAAGTAATAGTGAAGTTACAGAGCTAAATAGAAATCTTGAAAAGGCGATCAAGAATACAAAGCGTATCATAAAAATAAAATGTACAAAGACCTGAAGTCAGGAAAAACAAAAAAGGAAGAACATAGCAGCATTTCTCAACTGAAAGAACTGGAGGAAAATGAAGCCTCGACTTGAACTATTGAAGAGCTGTGGGCAATAAATTGAAAGATTCAGGAAGCATCAAAAAAAGCAGGATGTGATTTCAAGAGGCAGGAGATGATCAAGAAACAATGCCACTGAAGGAAGAAATCCAAACTGCAATGAATGCATTAGCCCCAAAAAAAAAGCCTTCAGAAATTGATGGAACATCAATTGGAATGTTTCAAAATATTCACACAGTGCAGGATACAGTCATTAGTCTATGCCAAGAGAGATGGAAGACAGGCACCTGGCCAACTGACAGAAAGAGATCCATTTTTGTGTCCATTCCAAAGAGAGGTGACCTAACAGAGTGAGGACATTGTCAAACGCTGTCATTAACATCACATGCAAAAAAATGTTTACTGAAGATAATTTGAACACAGTTGCGGTATACATCAACAAGAAGTTGTTAGAAATTCAAGCCCGATTCAGAAGAGGATGTGGAATGAGAGATATTCATCTGATATCAGATGGATCCTGGCTGAAAGCAGAAAGTACAAGGAAGTCTGAGGTTGTCTGAGATTTGGTTGAGGTTCCTGGTCCAGCCAAGTTGACACAGATGTTCTGTTCTGTTCCGTTTTATGGACTACACAAAGGCATTTTATTGTGTGGACAATAACAAACTATGGAAAACATGGCAAAGAATGGCAATTCAGAACATGTAATTGTGCCCATGAAGAACCTATAATAGACCAAGAAGCAGTCATTCAAACAGAATATGGTAGATTGAGTGGTTTAAAACCAAGAAAGGTATATATCTAGGTTGTATCCTTTCAATATATTTATTCAAGCTGTGTGCTGAACAAATAATCTGAGAAGCTCAACTATATGAAGAAGAATGGAAGACTGTGACACCGGAATCGAAGGAAGGCTCCTCAAAACGCAGGCTATGCTTGCTGGAATTGAAGAGCACTGCTGATGAAGACAGAAGACTGGAGCCCACAGCATGGATTACAACCCAATGTAAAGAAAAGAAACCCTCACCTATGGACCAATATACCACATCCTGATACAGAGAGAATCACGTGGAGTTGCCAGTGATCTCGTTTTACCTGGATCCACAATAAAACTTAAGGAAGCAGCAGTCAAGGAATCAAATGACATATTGCATTGAACAAGCCTGTGGCTTGTTCCACACTTCTTAAAGTGTGGAAAGGTGTAGGTGGCCTTCTGAGAATTAAGGGGTGGTGTGCCTGACTCGAGTCATATTTTCAATCATCTCAATATACATGGTGATGAATAAGGGAGATCAGAGAATTCATGCTTTTGAATGATGCTATTAATGAAGAATATTGAAAGTACCATGGACCATGAGAGAAGAAGCAAATCTGTCTGGTAGGAAGTAAAGCCAGAATGCTCCTTACAAGAGAAAATAGCAAGACGCCAGCCCCATAGTTCGAACACGTTATCAAGAGAGACTAGACCCTGGAGAAGGACATCATGCTTGGTGAAAGAGAGGGTCAGTGAAAAAGAAGAAGGGCTCAAGGAAATGGATTGACTCAGTGACTGTCACTACGGGCTCATAGCTAAGAATAATTATGAATAATGGTGATGGATATTCAATATTCTTCAACAGTGCCATAGTGAAAACGCACCAGTTCTTCTCTTGTCTCCCTCATTCATTGTTCACCCTCTACACGTGTATGAATTGATCGAAAATACTATGGCTTGAGTCTGGTGTACCTTAGTCTGCAAAGTGACATGTTTGCTCTTTCACACTTTAAAAAAATAGATCTTGTGTAACAGATTCATTCCTACATATGTTTGTGTACTTGTTTATTTATGCCTCTGACTCTAAGAACAAGGACTATATCAGTTTTAAATTCCAGAGAGTTCCTAGGATCTCAGAGTATGGCACATTATAGGTGACCAAAACTATTGGTTGAATAAATGAAGTCTGAGTATTAGGAATACCATCCTATTTAAATAAACTCTTATTTCAATAAAGCGCCTGAAAATAACTTCATCTTTTACCCTTCCACCTTTGAATCTGGTATAAATTATACTTAAAGTCTTACCGATTCTCATTTTTATTTTGGCCAATAGCATGACATGAGGAAAATAGATATTTTTCAAAGGCTGCAATGGATTTGCATATTCAGTGCTTGATACTGGAAATTCAATTGTTTCTCCCAAAGTTAGCATCTATCAACAAAACAAAACATTGGAGTGAACAATTAATGTGCACTGGGATAAGAAAAGAAGTAGGAAATTAAGTCTCTAAATCTGCTTCAAAGCACCCTCACCTGTTCAATAAGAAGGTTGTGAGATCGATTCAACAAAATTAAAAGATCTGTTTTTGAAGAGGAGGGTTCCTTGAATTTCTCCATTTTCGTTAAGTCATCCAGCAAAAGTAAGCTTCTCGCCAGGGTTAAACGAGATCGTGGAGAAAGAAAGTGATTTCCTTCAAGCAAATGTATTATATCCTATCCAAAAAAAAAAAAAAAAGGAGAATAATTCATTTTGGTAGAATTGTGGTAATTAGGAATTATGTCAACTAGACACTCCTGGCTCAGGGTGGAGTTAAACCTGTCAATCAGGCCGCAGCCTGATGACACCTTCTTGGTGTTCATCAATCTTTTGGTAGAGGAGTGAGAGACACTGGGTACTCCACTCTCTCCTTGCCCCTCTGCCTGCTGAAACTCTGCCTACCTTGAGTGGTGGCCCGCTGTGGGCCACTGGACCCTGAACGCTATTGGCATCCTGCCTGTTTCCACCAAAGTGGATGCACATGACTCTCCACCCACCAGCCTATGATTTTTCTGCTTCCCAGTTCACCATTCTCTATCACTGGCACATGGCAACGTGAGTCTGAAGAGGGACTTATGGACTAACATGGGACTGACGGATGGACTTGAGTTGGACTGGGCTTCTTGACATATAATTACTTCTTGAAATAACATTCTTTCCTATACATAGATGAATGCCACTGGACTGGTTTCTCTAAACGACCTGGCCTAACACAAGTACCATTTCCACTTTAGTGAAAGAAGAGCTGATCGTGTTGATTGCTACAGATTCAGCACCTATCAAAAATACAACCTCCTCCTATATTCTAATTGGAATCTCCCACTGAGTACAACTGTAAGCTGGACTTCTTTCGTACCTGAAGGTTTTTGATGATGTCTGCTTTTAAGTGTTTTTCTTGCAGGCCAAGGATTACCGCTTGCATCAGGAATTCAGCCTGTAGCTCCTCGTCGCCTGCGTTCTGGGCCTCCATGAAGGCTTCCTTGATGAGGCTCACACAATCTGTCATATCATTTTCTGCAAGAAATGCAGTTATTTAAAATGCCTTGTCTAAGTTAAAACATATATATTATCCATAGTTATCACAGTGATACTGTGTAGGTTAGAAAAACAGACAGGCATAAAGACTGAAAACAAATAGACTCTACATTGAACATTAATAAGATACGTGTTATATGCTGGAGGGAGCAGTTACCTTAGGGTTTTTCTATTGCTGCAAAGGAAAAATGTTATTCCATGGGGTCATGAATTTGGGGAGATGGACAGAGATGGGTGGATAAACAGGTATACAAACAGACACTGAAATAACTCGTGGCTATAAGAATTTACATACACCAGGGCTTTATCTAAGAACTTTGCAAAGCTTAATCCATTTAATAATTCTGATAGCAAACCTCTAAGGAAGGTGAAAGCAATTATGATCTCCATTTGACCGAGGAAGACCCTGAGCCATTAGGAGAGTCAGAGAATTGGCCGAGCTCACACGGCAGTTAAGTGCAGTAGCCAGCATTTGACCCAAAGTGGAGTGGCTCTGAAGTGTGCTCTCAAGCTCTGCCCTAAGCCACCTGCCTCGATGACAAGGTGACCTGAGGTTTTGAAATCCCCTGGCCTGTTCTGCGTATATTTAGACAACATAGCCCATTTTTAGTGATATAATGGATATAGTGATATAATGGAAAATGACCATTCCTATTCAATAAACTGCTCAAGCAAAAAATTTTAAAGTGTGAATGTTCCAGTGGAGCATATCCCAATAAAGCCCGGCCGCCTGAGCGCACTGACGAACAGGCCGATCATACCTTTCACGATGACGATGCCACGGACCTGTGCGGTGAACGCAGTCACCAGCGCTAAGCGGCACCTCAGCCACAGGTGGATGTTGAAGTATTCTCGGGAATTTAGGGAAGTCGGATCTAAAAATTCATTATTATCTTTATTTTCCGTGCTCTACGAAAAATCAAAAGGATGGTTATTTTCCTATTTGGTAATGGCAAACTTGTGGCCTAACACTACCACTATAGGTCACTTGAGTTAGGAGAAGTATTTATTACCATTGAACAGTATCTGATTTTCATCTTTAAAAATTATTTTGAGCGCTCTACAAAATATTAAAAATATACAAAGCAGCCATACTCAAAAATAAATAACACCTCTCACAGTCTCCTATTACTTCTTGGTATACTGCTTGTCAGTTTTTCTTTTTCTCTGTGTGCCCATTGATGAAATACAGTTTTTCCATTGCAATGATAAACCGGCATTTCCCATATCATCCAAGTTTTTGTAAATGTCATTTCAAGGACTGAAGATGAGTGTCCACCGTAATAATCATTCGTGGTCATCCTAGCTGAGTGTTTAGTCTGTGCCAGGCACTGTGCCGCATGCTTTGTTGACATGTTCTCATTTACCCCTCCAACAAGCCAAGGGGGCTATTGGTATTGCCATGGCACAGACAGGAGTGCTGAGATCTAGAAAGTTTACCTGTCTACCCGCCTGCTTCCAAACACCAAAGCCCACTGCCATCCAGACAATTCCATCTTTCATAGCAGCCGCACACGGAGTTTCTGCGACTGTGAAGCTTTACCGGAGCAGCCAACCTTCTCCTGCGGATCGGCTGTGGGCATCAACCACCAACCGTGTGGTTAGTAGCCCAACATCTAATGCAGCGCATCATGGCTACCACTCATTCTATTTGGGCAGAAGTGATATTTAAACTTTTGCCTTTGGAAATTAGAGGCCGCCATCTTAGCGGACTGTATTACATGGCATACAGGGCTGTGTCCGAATGCTCTATGAGCAATGGTTGACATTTTCCTTAGGACACATTAAGGAGTCCTGATAGCACAGTGGGATATGCAGTGGGCAGCTAGCCACGAGATCGGTGGTTCAAACCCACCAGTTGTTGAGCTGGAAAAAGATGAGGTCGTCTTCTCCCATAAAGTCTTAGAAACCTGAAGGGCCAACTTCTACTCTGTCCGATAGGGTTGCAATGAGTTGGAATCAACTCAGTGGAGGTGAATTTGGCTTTGAATTGCATTTGGAATGAAACATTAAGGATCCCCGGGGATGTCAGGGTTGAAGCATTGGACTGTTAACCTCAAGGATGTCGCTTCCAACCCAGCCTTTGGGAGAGAAATGAAGCTGTCTACTCGGATTTACAACCTTGGAAGTTCTATGGAACTATAGGGTCACTATAACTCAATGCAGTGTGTTTTGGTTTTGTTTTTTATACCTAGAGTCAGAGCTATTGCAAATTTAGTTTAAGGGGGGTTTTTCCCAGTGGAATCAGTCTTACAGACTTTGATTGACAAGAAACCTGTAAAATCATTTTGATTTTGAATCCCTGCTTCTTCTAGGAATTCCCTGCTAAGGCACCCCAGCCAGGCATCATCTCCTAACCAATCGGCCATGCCTTCCATCAGATAGAAAGAGCACTGGTCGCGCTCTCAGCTAAGTGCTAACCCCAGAGCTGGTGATCCAAACGCACCTGCTCCTCCGAGGGAGAACGATGAGCCTCTTTGTTCCCATAAAGGTTTACAGCCTCACGAACCCTCTAGAGCAGTGGTTCTCAACCTTCCTCATGCCGCGACCCTTTCATACAGTTCCTCACGTTATGGTGACCCCCCAACCATAAAATTATTTTCATTGCTATTTCATAACTGTCAGTTTGCTACTGTTATGAATCGGGCAACCCTTGTGAAAGGGTCATTCGACCACCAAAGGGGTCGCGAACCACAGGTTGAGAACCGCTGCTTTATGGGATCACTATGAGTTGGAATAAGAAGCTCTGTGATGTAGTGGGTTATGTATGGCGCTGCTAACTCCTACGTAAGCAGTTCAAATCCACCAGGTGCTCCTGTAACGATTTGTAGTCCCAGAAACCCAAAGGTGGGGTTCTGCTCGGACTTCTAGGGCTGCTATGAGTCAGCACAGGTGAGACGGCATGAGTGGCTGAAGGAGGCTCGAGCGAGGGTGGGTGTTGTCTAGTTGCCCTTGAGTGGATTCCCACAGGAAGAAGGGAGTGAGTGGATGGCTCCTGAGAACAGAGTGAGTGCTGAATGAGGCTCAGAGAAAGGGCAGTGATTCTTTGTCAGGGCAGACTGAGTACGGAGGCGTCTGGCAGTTCAGATTAGCCTCTCAAGGCCTCGATTTCTTGTTACAATTGAAATGCTCACGCCCCAAGTCTAAGTTAGGGTTTCCAACCTCAACAAGATTGACATTCTGAGCCAGACAGTTCTTTCTTGGGGGGCGGTGGGTGCATTGCAACATTATTTAGCAGCATCCGCTAGATGGCAGTCATACTTCTCATTGTGACAACCACCCACTAAAAACTCCAAACTCCCAAGGAAACTCACTGCCATTCAGTGGATACCTACTCAGGGTGACCCTATAGGACAGGGTAGAACTCCCCTGTGGGTTTCTGGGGCTGTAAATCTTTAGGGTACTAGAAAGCTCTAGAAAGCTTCATCTCTCTCCCAGGGAGCAGCTGCTGGGTTCAAACGGCTTGACCTTGCAGTCAGCAGGCCAATGTACAACCCACTACATGCTTTTAAGTAAACTTAGACTCAAGGCAACTCCGTGTGTGTCAGAATAGAAGTGTGTTCCCTAGGGCTTTCAATAGTGGTTGTTGAGCAAAGAGACTGCCAGGCCTTTCCTGCATGTTCTCTGCAAGTGGACCTGAACTTCTGACCTTTGGACGAGAAGCTGAGCACATAGCTATTTGTACCATCCAGGGACACCAACACATCTTTAGACATTGCCAAGTATCTCCTGGGAGGCAAAATCACCCCCTGTTGCGAACCATTGTTCGATGTTCATTTTCAGAATTAGATTGCTTTCTAGTCCTTTAATTGCTTTTAATATAGTAAAGAAATGAATCTCTGTGAACAATTAGCTTTGTTAATTTGTAATTATGCTAGACATTAGCAATTTTATTAGTAAAGCTTAAAATAATGAGCATGGATTTTATGTGATGAATTTTCATATTTTAATTCCATATAACCCTGGATTGTTAAATTACTTTGCCTTAGCCCAGTCCAATAAAATGCCAAGGAGTTTATGATATGGGTTGTCAAATGCATTTAAGAGCTTAAGTGTGGGAGAATCTAACCATCAAGGAGCCAAAAGAGGAAGTAGCAGAGGTCACATTGTCTGTGCTAAAGTCGTCATTTGAAAGGAAAATGAAGAGCAAGTTTTGTGAAACACTTTTATTTGCTAGTGAGATCGGAACGAGACTCCTCGAATGGTACGCCTGCATGGAACGTGAGTGATTATTAAAGTCTATCGGCTCATAGACGAGATTATATGATTTTTAAAAATGAAAGCCCTGCCCCAATTTATAGCAGTTCATAAATGATGGAAATGGGACTGAAATACCGATCTTTGACACCAGGGCTGTTTTTCTCTTTTGTTTTGTTTTTCCTACATCACCCCTTTGCTTCATCCAAATAATTAGATAATTTCCCAGCATGCTGACAGTTTTTATATAATAAATATTATAAATATAAGCATTAAATTCATACATACCGAAGATAGTGAAGGAGAGGAATCCTTTGCATCAACTGGCACTGCTTTGTTTTTAAAAATTTTTGAATCCTGGAGGAGTTTGAGTGTGGAAAGTACTATTGCAGCACTAAAAAGAGAATATATTTTAAGTTATTTTTTTAATCACTGCCATTCATTCTAGTCAGATGCATAATAACCCTACAGTACATAATAAAACTGCCCATTTGAGCTTCTGAGACTCTTTACAGGAGTAGAAAACCTCATCTTTCTCTCAAGGAGTAGCTGGTAGTTTTGAACTGTTTTGACCTTGAGGTTAGCAGCCAAAAACATAACCACTATGCCACTAGGGCTCCTTTTAATGTTCTTAGTTCTACACATAAGACATTTGTATGTTATTCCCTTACTCCCAAACAGTGCTCTAGAGCTAATTTATCTAGGTAATTTCCGACTGAAGCCCAGCTTATAGTACAGAGGGCAGGCCATAATAAAAACTCAACAAGCATTGTTAAGTGAAAATGAGTAAATGAAAGAATAAGTGAATTAACTTTTCTAGGATCTTAAGTAAAACTTAAAGTGATTATTGACAAATGCTATTAATAAAAATGAGCCCATAAGTATTTTATATGCATCATAATCTGGAGTCCCCAGATTTTTGGTTTTTCACTTTTTGTTCTGGTTTGGGCTCAGCTGTGTAAGTTGACAAAGCAAATCATTTCATGACACTGATTGCAACCCCACAGTGTGCCAGCACTCCTCCCACTTCAACCCTGGATAGTCTGTTCTGTCCTCTTTCCTACCCCATCCTGCCTCTGACTTTGTCCCCAATCAAATTCTGTCCTTTTGGTCTCTTGTGGTTGATTTCTCCAAGATGTTATTGTTTTCCTTATAACACCAATAAACAAACTTGCTGCCATGGAGTTGATTCCGACTCAGAGTGACCCCATAGGAATGGGGGGAACTGAGGCTCGAGAGGGGCTGCTGCCCTCCCACCTTATCTCTTCAAATAGTCCAGCTTCTTGGATTATTTGCTCAGTGTAGATCAAGAAGAGTAAAAAGATAAAACCTGATGCACATCGATCCTGATTTTAAACCATGCCCTAACTCTTGTTCTGTGGAAACTACTGCCTCTTGATCTACGTACAGGTTCCACAGGAGCACAATGAAGTTTTATGGAATTTCATTCTTCTCAATGCTACCCATAGTTGGTTATGATCCACACTGTTGAATGCCTTTGCATAATCAATAAAACACAATTAAACATTTTCTGGTATACCCTCTTTGAGCCAAGAGCCATATGCAATTAGCAATGATACCCCTGGTTGGAAAATAACAATCTAGCTTGAATTTCTGGTGGCTCCCTGTCAATGTACAGCTTCAACCATTGTGAATGATCTTCAGCAAAATGTCCTTGCAAGTGATGTTAATGATCTTGTTTGATAATTTCCATATTTGATGTTCTTGGAATGGGGACGAATATAGATCTCTTCCAGTCTGTTGGCCAGG